ATTTGAAGTGCAATTCATTTCAAAATGATATTCTTCCAACAAACTTTTCACAAGGAAAAATCGAGTAGAAAAAGCTGTCAACAAATCCTTTTTCTTACTTTTCGTGAAAAAGTAAGGGGCATGCCTTTATTGTAAGGTGTAACTAATAAGATTTTAGGAGAAACAGCATGGTAGATTTTATTGTGAGAAATTGTAGGTGAATGCTCTCTAATTTTATTATGTGCAATGGTATACATACGAGTTATTTATATAATTTTTATTTATAATTTGCATGTATTATTAAATATATATATATATAATAGTATGGATCCTTATAGTGTAAAAAAAACTAATAATTAAATAACAAACAAGATTTTATAAAAATATTACACAATAAAAATTTACTCTCAATTATTTTCCTTTCATTATGGGATGAGATTTTTCATTTCATAAAGAAATATTGGATGTGAATATGTTACAATTGTAAAGACCAAAGTTCAACTTATGTCATAAATCTCTACTTCTCTAGTTTATTTATTTATTTTTTATTTTGGATACATAATAAAAGACAACCTCTTTTATTCATCATTTCATTTTATCACACTTACATGTTATGCGATTTAAAATTAAAATTTTACTTTCAATAAAAATAAATTACCATTAAATTAATTAAGTTCTTGGCTTCACTTCTCTACTATTAAGTATTGGATTCATTAAATATTGGTTTGTAGTCATTTAATTCCAACAAAACTAAAAGGGAAAAAAAAAAAAGAAAGAGAAGAGAAAAGGAAAATCCGAAAAAGACATATTTGAACTTCGTTTCAATTTCCTCCTGTCTCCTAGCTAGCACCATAGATAAAATGAGGTGCGATAGATGAAATCAAAGAAAGATTTTGAAGAGACAGAAAGCCAGGAAAAATTCACTGCTTTTAAGCCACGGGAGCAGTGTAATGATACGGTGCATAACCAAGTGCTTTATCCAAGATTGAATTAGAAAGACCATTGAAAAGACAAACCAGCAATAAAACATGATTAGTTGAGTTATCAACAGTGAAATAAGGATAACTACAAAATTATGTGACAATATGCCACCAATTGACATTTGAACCACCAAACAATGATATGATTAAACCTTTAACACGACTTCTAGCCCCCAAATTTCTTCCTAGATTTGAAAAAATAACCCTTGTAGATGACCATTATATGTGACTGTATAACTTTGCACATTATTTTCTAAAGAAAATTGATCAGTGTACCCTTTGACACAATAAAATGCTAAACATATTTATTAAAAATCATTGTTTTATATAAAATTCAAAATAAATATATTTA